CCACCAAACGGTGCATTAGTGTGAAGGCGGCCGTAAACCTCTGGCCATCGACCGTAACACTGGTCGACACACTCTCGATGATGGCGTCCAAGAAGCGTTTCACATGTGATTCAATGAGTTTGGGGTTTGTCTGCCATTTGCTAATGAGATAATCAAATCGCTCGCAAATGCGCTCCACTTTGTTATCATCGCCACTGCTTTGATTGTCACCGATTGTGGACAACNGATTCAATGAGTTTGGGGTTTGTCTGCCATTTGCTAATGAGATAATCAAATCGCTCGCAAATGCGCTCCACTTTGTTATCATCGCCACTGCTTTGATTGTCACCGATTGTGGACAACTCGCCAATCAATGCCATACACTGGACGCTGTCTTCGGCGAAGGTGTCCAACGAGTAGATCAGCTCTATTTGTGGTAAAAAAAAACAAAAACAAACAATGTCTTTAAGTGATCATCAAATGAATGCCACAAAACACTTACCGTTGGAGTCTTCGGCGTCTTCATCGCCGGTAACGCCACTCTTGAACAGCGGTTCCGACATTTATATTCAATTTGTCGTCAATTGTCTACAAAAATGACACTTAATTACAATTAAATCAATTGATTGTCAAAACATGTGTTCAAAAGTTTGTGTCAAACATAACAAAACGACACCAAAACAGTTGTGTCATTAGGATAGAGGTGTTTGCCATACACAACACACAAACATGTGTAGAGGTGTTTGCCGTACATAACACTTGAACAACACCTCAAACAAGACATGCGCTGAGAAATAGACGTTAACTAACGCTTGAGATTTAAGACTATTTTATACACAACTGAATGTATTGATTATGTATTGCATTGTTAGTCATAAAAAGGTCCAAATGTTTGTTGTTATGACAACACATTTATGAATAAATATAATGCAATACACGTGTAATGAGTTGTCAATAAACACAGCGATTGTCACCAAAGCGACAGTCAATCGCATTCACTCGAAGACGCGGCCAAAAGCATCTCATCATTACTTCCATTTGAATCTTACAACGAATTGCCGGTCGAAACACATCCTCGCAGTGACAATGATGGCCACGACAGCCGTGGGTCGGCCGCAGTGGCCATGAGTCCCAACGATTGGCGTCTGTATCAGCGGCTGAATCCCGTGCAGAAGGGTTGGGGCGAAAGGGGTGTCGCCGTACACCTCGACAACGACGAAGACAAGGCCCTCGCGAAGGAACAGTTCAAATCGGGTGCTTTCGATGTGTTCATCTCCGACCGGATCAGTCCTAACCGCACTCTACAGGACGCGCGTCCGTACGAGTGCTCTAAAGTGGACTACCCGTCGGATGGGTTGGGTTCGGCCACTATTGTGATAATCTACACGAACGAGATCTGGTCGGCGCTGATCCGCACGATATGGTCCGTATATAACCGAACGCCCACAGGTTGCTCAACGAAATCATTTTGGTCGACGACTTCTCCGATAAGCCCTAACTCCGGGCGCCGCTCGACAAGTATTTGCGCTACTATTTCGGCGATCGCGTCCGTGTCATACGCCTGGACAAGAGGGAAGGGCTGATCCGCGCGCGACTAATCGGCGCTCGTCGGGCGCGCGGCTCTGCCATCGTATTCCTCGACTCGCACTGAGAGGTGACCACCGGCTGGTTAGAGCCACTGTTGGCCCGCATCGTTGACGACCTGCGCGACGTTATCTGTCCGGTGATTGACGTGATATCGGATAAGACGTTGGAGTTCTTCGCGGGCAATCCGTACTACGTCCAGGTCGGAGGGTTCACGTCGAGCGGACACTTCACTTGGATCGACATACCGTAGGACGCGGCCCGCAAAGCGCCGACCAGAGCGGTGGTGTCGCCAACGATGGCCGGCGGCTTCTTCGCCATCGATCCCCAGTACTTCTTCGAGATCGGCTCCTATGACGAGCGGATGGAGATCTGGGGCGGAGAGAATCTGGAGCTCTCGTTCCGCGTGTGGCAGTGCGGCGGCCGTCTGGAGATACACCCGTGCAGTCATGTCGGCCACATATTCCGCGACTATCATCCGTACTCTTTCCAGGGAAAGGACACACA